GTTAGAGCTGGAAGGGACCTTGAAGACCACCCAGTGCCACCCCCTGCCCTGGGCAGGGCCACCTCCCCCCAGCCCAGGTTGCTCCAAGCCCCGTCCAACCTGGCCTTGAACACCTCCAGGGATGGGGCACCTTGAATGCTTCGAGGTCTTTTGGATGTGATGCTCTAAATACCTCCGGTTACCAAAAGAACCCTGTGGCCCCGCTCATTTTCAAAGCTGCAGTTGGGGTGAGAAAACATTCAGCAGTCCCCTTCTTTAAAGGTAGTCATTTTTTTTGGTAGTGAAATTAAACGGCGGCCGCCACGTCCAGGGGATCTTGCGGGGGTTTGATCCCTTCATGAACCTGGTGATCGATGAGTGCGTGGAGATGGCGCCCGGAGGACAGCAGAACAACATTGGCATGGTGGTGAGTGCCGCCGCCGAGACGGGCGGAAGGCGGACGGCGCTGGCGTTGTGTCAAACGAGAGGAATTTTAAGAAGTGAATGTGTTTAGTTTAATAGCGTGGAACAGTCTGGGGTGGGGTTTAGGGCTAAACTCGGTTGGTGGTCATCTTTGGGACGGACGTTTGCGTGTTGGGAGAGAAAGATGAGCGATTTTTTTTTTTTTTTTTTTTTTTCGGTGCAGCATCAGCTTTTTTAGGAAAATAAATTGGGGGACGGGACCTGCAGTGCTGCGTCTCACCGGCCGCTCTCGACTTTCACTTTTAGGTAATACGTGGAAACAGCATCATTATGTTGGAAGCTTTGGAACGAGTATAGTACCGGAGAAACCTGCGTCGTTACCGGCCGTGACGAGACCCAACCCACCTCTTTTGTTTACTCATTCAATCTGCCGCAAACTATCCCCGACTGTAAACTTATTTTTTTGTTTGGTTTTGTTAAATAAATTTTTGTAATGGTTGCCGTAACTTGTGTCAGTCGTACTTGCTTTTTTTTGGGGGGCGGCGTACCGGTTCTTCAGCGCGGTGGGGGCGGTTGTTAATTCCGCTCCCGACAGCTTTAAAACTCTGCGGAGACTTTGAGGAGGTTTAATTAGGAGTGGAAGCTAAACTGGCGCTACTTTTGGTGTCCTTCCCCTTATTATCTCGTAAAGAAGGAGCTACAACGCTGCCTTGTGTTTGTTCCGTGGGTTATTGGGCGTTAATTGGCAGGAAAGTGGTAAAATTCCCCTCTGATGAGTGAGGGAGAGTCTTTGTGCCAAGCTGGGCTGCCTCAAAAAAGGAATTAAAAAAAAAATAATGATTTTTTTTTACTCCTCTTTCTGCCTCGCGGAGTTGTGGGGCAGAAACCAAAGCCTGCGGGGGCTGGACGGGATGAACAAACTTTGGGATTTTTTCTCCTAAGTGGGAGCCGGGTGGAAACGGGCCGTTTTGGTTCGCTTTTGGGAGCGAACTCCCTCACAGCCCTTACTGCTGGGGATGGTCTTGTTTGTCACCACGGTTTTAATACACAGAGGCGCTAAGCTCTTTCTCAAGCACCGTTAAGAAACCCAAAACCAGCAGAAAGCCAATTTTGGGGCAGAAACCAAGCGGTTTTCTTAGAAAATGGGACGGTGGAGTGACGCCTGCCCCACCGCGTAGCGTTTTTAAGGCAGGGGGAGTACAAATCCTGAGTTTGCTTTTCAGAGTTGCCTCACCCGGCGGGAGGAAGGTTCCCCGCAGCGCGAATGCCGCTCTGCGGGGAGAACGCAGGCTGTTAGTACGGGAATATTTAATATTATTTTTAGATTTTTATCACCGCTGCGGTCAGCGTGGCGCAGCAAGGATGCGGCCGGAGTACAAGATCAGTCGGATGGGTGAGCCCCAGGCACAAAGAACGCCGCCGTAGGCCAGCTTACTTTCCAAACAGTGCATTAATTTTATTATTAAACCCTAATTTTTATATTCAGACCTGGTTGAGGTATCGCAGCGATATTAGATACAGTCAAGGGGACGCAATTTTCTCACGGAAAGGGATTTTTAGCTACCCAAACCCAGTGCTGCCCCACTGCAGGGTCAGCTCATCTAAATTATTAACGCTTTCCAACTTTGACAAAGCAAAGGACATAGTGTTTTTCTTTTTGTTTTGCTCACTTACCACCCGTTTTGGCAACTCACGCGCTCCCAGCGGACCAGTTTCCCCCTGCCCGTAAGCTACAGTACTTGTTCTGGAAGCAAATTAAGAAAGCAGCCCCAATTTCCACCGCGCTAATCCCACCCCAAGGAACAACTACGGGATTTACCCTTCAGAAAACAGCTGAGGCAGAGAGATTTACAGTCAAGAAATCTGCTTTTTTTTTTTCTTTTTTTTTTCCCCCTGCCCGAAACACAGCCAGAGAGGGAAAGCCACGCGCAGGGGTTAATCACAGTGATGCAGATCCTGAGTTTGGCAGAACCCTGACCGCGGAGGGCACTTTTGGGGTCAATGTGGCATTTAAAAGATCGTCTTTAATCTCAATTAGCGATAGATCGAGGGGTTTCCTGGAGGAAGGGCCAGAGGAGTTTCCTGGAGGAAGGACCAGTTCGCTCGGGAGAGCTTCCTCCGCCTTCTCCCGGCTGTTCCCGTCTGTCGTGGGGTGGCTGAGCGTCCCCTCTTAAGGGCCCAACGAGTTCCCTCGTTCGTCAGCTTTAATTGCGGCTAAACAGCTACAGTGCGCGATCCGTGTCTCCGGAGGTCGTAGCGTGGACGCTCGGCCGGTGGCTCCGTGAAGCTCAGAGCTCCGTTTTCAGCTTCTCGTGCAAATCTTCCTGGTCGATCCTGTCGGTGTTGCCGTACCAGCGGTGGTAAGCGAGGAGGGCGGCGTTTTTGGCGGCGATGGCGCTCATCTCCATGGCGCTGGCGGCGCGCTCGATGCCGTTCAGGTAGTAGAGTTTGTCGTGGAGAACGATGGGAGGACATTTTTCCGGAGGGCTGTAGTGGGGGTACGCCAACCACTTCTTCACTTTGACCGAGTCGTAGGAGGCGAAAAGCAAGTTCAGCTGCTCTTTGGTGAGCACTTCCTTCGAAAACACCTTCCAGACGGCCGACGGCAAGGGCGGCTTTCCTTCACCGCCGCCGTCTTCCACGGGAGACACCACCCCCAGGCTGTTGATGAAGAGTTTGGGATTCTCCGTGGTGAAGATGGCACCGAAACGAAAGGCAGACGGATCCCGGTAACCAAAGAAAGAAGAGTTTAATCGTCCGTGCACCAAGGTGGTGACAGTCTGGTGGTAAGGATTCGGGAAGTCCGGGACAGGAGGGTCGAAGTTCTTGAAGGTGATGTTGGCCATTTTGCGGCTGAGCGGAGCAGCGATGACGACGATGTCATACGTGTCCCCCGTTAGACCCGACGTAGTGTTGTAGGTGACGTGGTAAAGCTTCACCGGGTCCCCTGGGGAGAAGAGGGGCAGAAGATCTCGGTTATCCCACTCCGGGGCTGGAGGGAAGCCCGGCTGTCCCTCTGACAAACACCAGGTTTGTAAAATCCCACCCCGTTTAGGCTAATTACGCCTTGTTGGGAGCCGAAGTACCTTTACGAATTCGTCCCAGCTTATCCTTCATCGTAGAAGACCACGGAAAACCCAATTTCAGCTGGAGCCGAGCGGTGCCGGAGGCCACCACCGCCTCTCCAGCCGTTCCCCTCCCCACCCAAGAGAAAGCAAACCCAACTCACCCGTGGGTCTGGGTCGGATTTTTGGTTCTATAGACAAAACGGTGCCAGAGATAACTTCAGCTTTGGAGGCGTAGATAAGGCCAGCGCAGACAAGTTTGTTCCCCCCTTTTACTGACCAAAGGCCCGATTCCACCCCTGCCAGGGAAACAGCACCTAGAAGGGAACCGCCATTTATTAGAACGGCTTGTTCGGCGTCATCCCGTAGGGGATTATTTCCAGAAAAAGTGGAAAATTAAGGGGGAAAGAAAATAAAAGCGACATCCTTTTGGGGCACAGGATCCCCAACACCCGTAAGAGCACGAGGTGCCCGGGAGAGACGCGTCGGGAGGTTCTCCGACCAACCGCTCACCTACGAAACTGTTGATGTTGATGCCTTGGCCGTAATTGACCCTCATGGCCGGGCAAACCACCTCGTTTATGAATTTGTGGGAGAAGCCGGCTCGCTGCATGGCTTCGTCGATGGTTTGGTTCAGCATGCGGGCGAAGTCGTCCCCTCCGAGGGCGTGCAGCAGGCGCTCGTTGCTGCTGAAGGCGTACTCGTGCGTCTGGTAGCGATAGATCCTTTAACCGGAGACAAGAAATAGGCGTTCGGTCACGGTCAATTATCTTTGTCGCCCTCGGAAGCCGCAGAGGATCTCACAGCCCTTTGTGGGAGCAGCAGGGAGGACGAGCCCTCGGTAGACGCCTAAGGAAACCCGGACCTTCGTTATTCATTTTCTTATCAAAGCATTTTGGTGTTCAGTTTTGGGCCCCTCACGACAAGAAAGAGCTGGAGCATGTCCAGAGAAGGGCGACGGAGCTGTGAGGGGTCTGGAGCACACGTCTGGTGAGGAGCGGCTGAGGGCCCTGGGGGTGTTCAGCCTGGAGAAGAGGAGCTGAGGGGAGACCTTCTGCTCTCTACAGCTCCCTGAGAGGAGGGGGCAGCAAGGGGGGGGCGGTCTCTGCTCCCCAGGAACAGGCGATGGGACAAGAGGGAACGGCCTTAAGTTCCACCAGGGGAGGTTTAGGGTGGATATTGGGGAAAATTCCTTCATGGAAAGGGCTGTCAAGCACTGGCACAGGCTGCCCAGGGCAGTGGTGGAGTCACCATCCCTGGAGGGGTTTAGAGGACGTGTCGATGCGGTGCTGAGGGACGCGGGTTAGTGGTGGAGTTGGCAGTGTTAGGCTGATGGTTGGACTCAATGATCTCAAAGGTCTCCTCCAACCTCAACGCATCTATGATTCTGCGACATCCCACACCCAACATGCCTTTCCACCACAGCCTCTCGTCATTGCTATACCCATTCGAAGACGACAGCGCTTCTCTTGACCTTTTTCCTAAGAAAAAGGAGAGAGAGGGCGACCAGAGACTCCTTTCCCAATGGCGATGGGATGATTTCACCATTTTTTTTTTAAATTTTTATATTATTTTTTTTTTCCCCACAACTCAGCAGCAGGTCTCCCACCTTTTCCCACAGCCGCTCCCCCACCTTTTCCCTCGCTGGGGGGCCCACGACGTACCGCATGAACTTGTCCAGGATGTCCTCCACCCACATGTACATGCGGAGGGGGTTGAGGCCGTAGCGCCAGAGGAGCTTGAGAAGGTTGACGATGTACCAGCTGCTCTCCTCGAACACGAACTCCTCCCCGTTATAAATGCCCGCGAGGCTGCCGTGCGTCGGGGCGACCGCGAGGCCTCGAGGAACGGGGCGAGAAAAAGGTAATTTAAGGTAAGGTAGAGCTTGTGTCGAGCTAAAACTGTATTACGCCTGGATTTTAACTTCCCCGGCCAATCTAGCCGCGCGTTGATAAGGGTGAGCAATTAAAGATTGGATCCCCAGGACACGGATGGGGGAATGAGTCCTTGACCAGGAGCCAGGCAGTTATTTACGGTGACTTTTGGACTTTTACGATGGGATTAATGCATCACCCACGGAGAGGGGGGAGGCGGGGGGGTGTCCCATCTCCATCGGGATGCGGGTCTCCTTTTCCCAGGGGTATGGGGTACCGCGAAGGGGGGGACTGGGGAAGGAT